CCTTCCCCCATTTCAAAAATCACCATTCACCACTGATTTGTGTATAACCTTCTCATGTCCTCCTGTCCATCCGCAAAATAGCTTAAAATAGTATGGATTGCATTTGCTGAATGTTATGAACGAATAGCACAGAATGGGGAAACAGGAGCAGGAGTCACGAAATTGGGCGAACAAAGGAGGAGCGGCATGATCAGGACATGACAGAACCCCCACCAAAAGCATGCACAGCAGGCGCACCTAAGGGGAGCGAAGGGACGAGATCGGGGGCACGAGACCTGGAAAACAAAAGCAAGAACATCAACGGGGCACTGGGAACAGGACCGACACGCAGAACAGGCACAAGGGCAACAACCAGGACAACAACTGACAAACCACCGGGAACGCAGACACAGGGGCACCAAACAATGAAACACAGAACCCGGAGACACCAAAGGAAATGACACAGGGGGAAAACCAACCAGAGGAATGAAGGGACCAGAAGTGAACAACGGTGAAACAGAGGGATGAGGACCAAACATAGGGAGCACAAAACCAGGGGGCACCACACCAGAAGGCAAGGAGGCAAAGAGCGGGGGAAACCAAGCAGCCAGAGGGAACCCTGGCAGGTGGAAGGTGGGAGCTGCATGGGCAGCCGGCAACCGTGAGGCCAGAGCTGGAGGGACCCTCGTTGACTGTGAGGCTGGAGCCAGAGGGGATGTCGAAGGGGGCGAGGAGGAAGGCGGAGAGACTCCAGGAGGAGGCAAGGAGGGAGGCGAAGGGGACCCTGGTGGAGGGGAGGAGGGAGCAGAAGCTGCGGCAGGCGAAGGCGTAGCCACAACCAGCAAAAGTGCAGGCGACCAGCGAGTCAGAGCTGGGGGGCCCACAGGCAACCAATGAGGCGACAGGGGTTGGACCGCAGCCGGACGACGAGGCATCAGAGGTGGGACCACAGGCGATCGCCGAGCCAGAGCCAGGGGGGGTTGCAGGCAAACGCCGAGCAGGATCTGGAGGACCCGCAGGTGACCATCGAGTCAGGACCGAAGGCGAACTGGAGGGTTGGGCGGGCGGGACCCGACCCCTGCACAGGTGTCCTCTCCCTCTCTGGGAGATCACGAGGCGGGGACCCGGCCAGGATCTGCCATGCCGGGGTGGTGGTCGGGTGACCCACCGGAGGGGTTCATCGGGGCAGTCAGGGTGATTCCCGAGGGGTCCCACTCGAGTTCCACCTCTACCAAGGAGGGAGGAGCGGTGGTCCGATGGTCCAGGATCTCCTTGTGGACAGGGCCTGGGGCCATGGGAACTAGGGCAGAAGCAAGGTCTGTTGGGATCAGGGACCTCCTCGGAAACAGGACCCGGAGATATGGGAGCAGGAACCGCCGGGACAGGAACCACGGGGGGCAGAGCAGGAACCGCTGGGGCAGGAACCGCCGGGACAGGAACCACGGGGATTGATGTGGACCCCTTTCTTATGTAGAACTTGGGGGTCCGCAGGATGGCGTCCTCAGACTTCTTGGCACCTTTTTGGGCTAGTTGTGTGCCCAGGAAGTTACGAGCTTCAGACACTTATCTGGGCGAGGCGGCAGCAATGTGGGCTTTGGGTACGAACACCTCCGGGTCAAGAATCGGGAGGTTCCTCCCGACATGTAGCAGAGCAGCCAGTGGACACCGAGACAGCCCCTAGGAAGACCTCCGGCGTGTTCTCCCGTCTTCGATTTTTTCGCCTTCTTCCTGCGGCTTTCGACGGAGTTTGGGGTACTTCCGGCAGTTCTGATAGTGGAACGTAGTGTAGTCCACTAGTCACTGCTACCTGCCGCATCTTCGGTTCCGTCACCCCTCTTCTCAGCTGCCGAAAGTTGTCCCGCACCTCCCCAGCAAGGTGTGAGTCCTTGGACAGGGACATCATCTCCAGGGTGTCCCTCGTCTGGAACGTGAGGGCTTGAGCCGCGGGGTCATTCCGAACCTTGGGCTGATCAAGCCAATAAATTACGTCATATACAAGACTGAGGTATTCAGCCTCGGTCAGACCAGGCATCTTCTTGAATCCTGTCATTCTGTTATGAACGAATGGCACAGAACGGGGAAACTGGAGTCACGAAATCGGGCAAGCAAGGGGTTTAATTGAAGAACAACACACTGGAACACATCACAATGTCAATAGCAGGACTAGGGAAAGACTGACAGGGAAGCACTTAAATACAGGACTCAATTAGACATGACTCGGAACAGCTGGACACATGGGAATTCCACATGTGGATAACGAGGGGGTGTGGCACACAGGAAGAGCAGCATGATCGGGATGTGACACTGAAAATAAAATATTTTACGTAAAATATTAACCTTTGCACTTAAAACACTACTACAATTCACATAAATGATGTAACTTACCTGTTCCTTTTTCATTCAAAAATGGAAGAAGCGAAGTTGCGACACGAAATTAAACAATAAAAAAAAAAAGAGTGGGAGCAAATTTCCTCAAAGCATATTTTAGCAACTTTCACATTTGGAGCCATGCAACTGAATGGTTTTAACTAGCCAAGATGTTATATTAAAAATGTGATTCCTCTTACCAGTTTGTCATGCTTTTCTTTGTTCCAAGACCACACGTGTATTTGTTTCATCTTCCAGAACATACAAGCAAATACTACCAATTGAAACTAGGGATTAATCACAGCCTGTAATTGTGATTAACTTTATAATTTTTTAATTAGTTGACACCACTATGCCTTTTTTTCTTTAAAATTAGGTATTTTCTTGTCATGCAATAGATGAGGCTTTGATTTTAATGATTTCCTTGTTAACATTTGGATGTTATGCGTGTTCAAGCCAATCAGATTTTGGGTAATGATAATGTCATTAAATAGTTTCTTAAAATTTCTCAAGCCACAGCTATTTGTTTAGTCACGTTATTTTTTACTTTTTTAGCCAGAATTTGTATCAAAAGGAAGGCACAGCACTTCTAGTTGTACAGCTCTACATTTAGGTGGAGCAATTCTGGTCAATTTAAGCTCAGTGAGTTCCCAGCCCAAGAGGTAGGTTTGTGAAATTTATCACAGAGCATTAATTTCATGAAAAGTCAATCAAATCAAATCAATGCATGCATTTGATACCAGTAACACTGATATTAACCACAAATCAAATGTAATTTAATTAACGAGTGCAGTACATATTACACTGCTACCCTATACTGGATAGAGTAGCTGGATGGATGGATGGTGCAAATCTCATTTTTATAGAGGACAAACTGAAAAATGCTTGGTATGTGTTGCCTTGATCTTCCAAAAAAAAAAATTAAAGGGAAGCATAAGATTACATATTAGTAACTTGTGTAGCTGTTTCCATTTCTAGTTTTAAAGACAAAGTATTTTTCTATGTCTGTCAGGCTCTTTTGGACCACATCCCACTGAAGTGCTTTCTTGCATAAGATTATGTAGTTGTTCATTTCTGTTTCGAAGTTCAAAGCTTGTTTCCTCATAGCACTACCAGGTGGTTTATTAGGGCCTACTTTTGCAAATAACCAGACTTCTGCGATATCAATGGTCAGTGAGTTACAGTCAAAGTAAAAAGTATGTGAACCCCTTGGAATTTTGTTGTTTTTCTGCATGAATTGGTCATAAAAAGTGATCTGATCTTCATCTAGGTCACAGGTACCGATATACACAATGAGCTTAAGCCTATAACACACAAAAAGTTCTACTTTTTCATGTCTTTATTATACAAACATATTCAGTATTCACAGTGGTAGTGGAAAAAGTAAGTGAACCCTTAGGTTCAATAACTGGTTTACCCTCCTTTGGCAGCAATGACCTCAACCAGGCACTTCCTGTAACTGCAGATCAGACCTGCACATCATGTGGGGGGAATTTTAGCCCATTCTTCCCTGCAGAACTGCCTGAACTCTTCCATATTCTTTGGTTGTCTTCTGTGTATTGCTCTCTTCAAGTCATTCCACAGCATCTCAATATGATTGAGATCGGGGGTCTGACTGGGCCACTGCAAAAAGCCGATGTTGTTCCTCTGAAGCCATTGTGCTGTTGATTTGTTTGAGACTTGTTCCTCCCAAATAGTTCAGTTTTAGTTTCATCACTATACAAAACATTTTCCTAGTATCGTTGTGGAGTGTCCAAGTGTTCCTTCGCAAACTTCAGGCGTGCAGCAATGTTCTTTTTTGACAGCAGTGACTTCCTTCTTGGTGCTCTGCCTTTCTTGTTCAGTGTTTTGCATATTGTTGATTCATGAACACAGATGTTAGACAGTTCTAATGACTTCTTCAAGTCTTTCACTGTCACTCTAGGGTTCTTCTTTACCTCAATGGTGACTTTGTGTTGTGCTCTTGGGGTCATCTTGGCAGGGCGCCCACTTCTAGGCAGAGTAACCACAGTACCAGATTGTCTCCATTTATAGACAACTTGCCTAACAGAAGACTGATGAATATGTAAAATCTTTGAGATGACTTTGTAACCCTTTCCAGCCTTATGTAACTTAATTCTTGATTGTAGGTCTTCAGACAGCTCTTTTGTGCAAGGCATGATTCCCATCTGGATATGCTTCTTGTAAAAAGCCCAAACTCAACCTTTTCAGTGGTTTTTATCGTCCAAAGTCAATCTAGGCCACACCCCTGAACTCGTTTCATTAAATGGACTCCAGGTGTGCTAAATTCTGACTGCAATGAGCTTTTAAAAAAGTCATTAGCTTGGGGTTCACTTACTTTTTCCAACCTTCAGTTTCACGGTTTGAATGATTTATACAATATGGTCAAATATTCTCTGAAAATCTGTGTATCTTTAGTTATATATTTCTATATTATTGTGACTTACATGAAGATACAACTAGGTTTTATATGGGATTTAGTCATAAATATAGAAAATTCCAAGGGGTTCACATACTTTTTACTATGACTGTATATCATGAGAAAGGAATAATTATAAACTACCATCAAGGACAATAGGGTTCTTCAATATTGTTGAAGGTTGACTAATAATGTAATTAATTGTTTACCTTTTCTGTAATGTGTGACTACTCAGGTGGAAGAGATTCGAGGCTGCATAGAGAAGCTTTCCGAGGATGTGGAACAAGTAAAAAAGCAGCACAGTGCCATCCTTGCAGCACCCAACCCTGATGAAAGTGAGTAATAAGCAATATGAACTCCAAGAACAATAGCTTCACAAATCCAGAAATCAAATGAACAGGGTGTTTTTTTATTCATTAGGTTTTGTTTTTCCCATAAAACACCAGTTATTTGTGAAAAATCTTGGCCAGACTCAACTTCTAAAGGCACTAGCAGCATATGTTAAATTTTTATTGCTGGTCTATGTATTTGACACAAACAATATAGAACTAGAGCCTAGCTTCTTTGGATCTTTGGAGGTGTTCAATTCTGCAGTGTTACAAGACAACTCTATATTGATCCAGTTCAGAATCAGAAAGGACTTAAGTGTGGAGATGTCAACACAAAGGGTTATGTAGCAGTGCTGAGCCAGATGTGCTGTGCCCTGTGGTGGGTTGGCATCACATCCAGGGTGTTTCTTGTCTTGTGTACAATAATACCTGGGATAGGCTCCCCCTCTGACGCCTGTGGCAAATAAGAGGCTTAGGAAAAGAGGGTGCAGGCATATACTCCTTGAGAGGTGCAATAAGGGAAACAAGGGGAAAAAAACCCAGAAGGGTCAAAGGGTGGCAGTCATTTCAGGGTGGTCATCCTAAGCCGCCAAGCATGATGCACATGGGTGGGCTTAAGGGAGAAGGACAGAGAGGTACCCACCCAGATAACAGTGCATGAGGAAAATGCCATCTGCATTTTGGTGGACTGTCCACGTGCAGTTCTCCATTATAAAATAAAAACAAAAGTCTTGACTATCAAAAAGGGTGAGGAAATAACAGGTCACTCAGACATTTTATTGGGCTTTTGTGATTGAGGAGTCCGAAAGCCCCATTTTGATGGTCCACAAACTTCCCTGCTGTATCTTATCAACCTCTTCCTTGACCACCCATAGTTGTTTCACAGGTCTCAGTAGGGCTAGAGGGCAATCCCAGGACATGCCTCGATGTCGTGCTGGATAAGGTAGGTACAACATGGGAGTCTGGAGAACACATCCTGGGCACTGTTGATGTTGTCCCACAGTTTTGGTGCTGTGGTGGACTGAGCCCCCAGACTCTTTGTCCAAAGAGGAGTTTGAACTGGATTAACCCTGTGGAGACTTGTGGAACTTCCTGGATTGTGAAGAGCACAGAAGGAAACATGTCCTGGTTTTGACTATCCTTGTCAATGACATGTTGGAGCATCTGTCTGAGCGTCTGGTTGAAATGCTCATGAAGGCCATTTGTCTGCAGGCGGACAGGGATTATGCTGGGTCTCCCAATGTTCCTTGTGATGGTGAAAGTCTGGTCCTTATTTTGGCTGCAGACCCTGAGTATGTAGTGGCAGTTGTCTGTTTTGCCTTCTTTTAGGAGTGCGAGCATGACAAAGAAGCTTGATCAGCGATTTTATAAATTGAAAGATTTTCATTTTTTTCCAGATGCAATCATAACGTGCGAAAAAAAGGTATGGTTTGAAAAAATATACACTACAGTTCAAAAGTCTGGAATCACTGAGAATTTTCGTTGTAATTTTCTTTCAATTAAAATAATATTACAAATATCACAAATATAATCTAGACATTGGTAATATTGCAAGTGACAATAATATTGCTGCTAACAGCTGCTTTTTTGTGAACATCTACAGTATATAGGAACACAAAACTAAGTTTTCATCAATCATCACTCCTGTGTGCCAATGGCGCATTGTCTGACCTAATCCTAAATTATCATGCTAAAAGGCCAATTCTTCATTAGAAAACTGGTGAAATTGGTAAACTTGCCCCCGTAGCTATGGTAGCAATAGTCAAGACTCTGAGCTAAGTAAAACGTAATGTTAGCCTTAGAGATGCACGATATGCTGGATAAAATATTGGGATTGGTTGATATTCATTAAAAATCAAGATATCATGATTATTCAGAAGTGTCAATTTTGGCCAAAATTCCTGGCCAAATCAATATTCAAAGTTAGCAGCACCAGAGCTAAAGCTAAAAACTATGAAAATAACGGACATGTTTGCATTAGACTACCAGCTGTTTTTCATAGTGGAGGACAAGGGACTTTATCAGTTCCTTCAACAGTGGTGTTCTGACTAAATATGCTGCCTTGTCGAATTTTGCTATCATAGCGCAATTTCACAGATTGCTCCCCTGCTACCTTATGGGTGTTCTGATTACACCCTGGGTATTTTGATAGTCAAATATGAGTTTAAACCATACTATCTCCAACTGCATGTGTACTCTAAGGGCCCTATTTTACACCTGGCACAAAGTGGCACCAGGTGTCACAAGTATCTTTGCTTGCATGCCCGTCAAGGTTGCTATTTTCCCATCCAGTGCCCATGTTGAATAAATAGCAAGTGTACTTGGAGTCAGGTATGTAGTTATCACCACCAAGTGTACTTGAAGTCAGGTGCATTGGTGGTGCATCCATATCTTGAGGCAGCGGAAGGTGCTTGCAGCAGGGGAGTTTCTAGCTACTGTACTGAAAAGATCAGGGGCTAAGTCAAGTTTACCTGGGGCTTGACTTTTTTGTTTTTGATGGAGGATAATTGGCATCTGGGCTAAAATACTTGGGGCTAGGCTTAAAATACTGATTGGACCTAACGACGCCCATGACTTGCGCTATTGACCAACAAATATCTGGTCTAAAATCAATGGGGCAGTATTTCACTGCTAATTAAAGGGCACATTATCAAGATAGTAAAATGTGCTGGCCTGATTTATTGCTAATAAAATCTTCCATATAAGACAAACCAGAAGATGCCACTGCTTGAGCATGCATGTTGAAATTATGTAGAATGCCACTAGCAGGTTAGCAAGTTAATTCACCAGTTCTAGAGCGCAGCACCACTGTGCGCTAATTGCTCTATTTCTCTGTCGTATAATAGCATTGAGTGAGAAATATCTGATAGTATATTTTACTACATTCTTTACCTTAAGGCAGTTTGCCCTGAGCACGAAAGCAGCTTCTGCCCTTGGATTAGGTCATAGGAAAACAAGATTTACAAGAAGCAAGCTGGGCCCAGCAGGATGTGTCACGTGATTTACTTGCATCTAGCCTAAGATGGTGATAGGCTATATTTAAAAGTCAGTTAGCCTGGGGATGAAGGTTCTTAAAATGACACAAAATAAATAAATAAAATTACATTTAATGAAGAATTTAAAATAGTTAAAATGCAATCTCTGAAAGTATTTTGTTTCAACTTACATCTGGTTGTTTCCGTCCAGCAAAATGCAAATGACAAAATACTGAAAAGAAGTTAAATACGTAGTATTTTAAATACATTTCACTGAAATTCTGTCCATCCCTGCCTACATAGGCATATGCACAGCTTGCATACACTACATAGGGACATGCAGCAGTGCACGGACATGCAAAACATTCAAAATAAAAGATTACAATGTGAATGATCATTATTGTGTACATTAAAATATTTTAAGAAATATATGTCACAATGGTTAGTCATAATATTAATCAGAATTAGCTATTTGCAGTAATGAGGAATGAAATTGGCAAATAATTACAGTGGAACCGCCGTATATACAGTTTCAGTAACTGTTTTACTGTGGTCCAAAAAAAATGTTTAAGAATTCCAGAAACAGTTCTTAAGTACAGGCTGTAAACCGGTCAGCACCCACTATAGCCTAAGATTGGTTTGGGTGACCTCAAATCAATATCACAATTAACTGAACATTTTACCTCAATTACTTTAATGAATGATTCTTTTGTTTTACTTTTTGTTTGTTTGTTTGTTTTTTTTGCCCTCAGATTTCATTGTTTGCACTGAAAATATGTTCAATAATTAAAGCTGGTATATTTTTTTCTAAAGAAACACTGTACATCTTTAAGATTTTAAAATAATTGAAGGAGACACACAGATGAACCATTTATGGTTATTCATTGAATATTTTGAACAACTGAAATAAAAGCACAAATAGGCTGAAATGAAAACATCTTATGAAAAATGTCACATTTTTGTTTTAATGTAAAAAAGCAGGTTCCCTAAAAAAGTAGAAAATACATATTTTGCATTTCTTGCAAACAAAATAAACCATTTATAGTTTCTTTTTCTTCATGTCTCAGGCAGATCACCATCTAATTGAAATTTGTATATTTGGTAACACTGTACATTAAGTGCACCTTCATAATGCATTCATAGAACATTCATAAGAACATTCATTCAAGTACACCTTAACATCCTAACATCCCTTTACAGCTTTAATATACATTAATAACAAACATTATACAATTATAATGTTTATTATTATATAATGTTTGTTATTAATGTATATTACAGCTGTTAAGGGATGTTAGGATGTTAAGGTGTACTTGCATGCTTCTTATGAATGTTCTATGAATGCATTATGAAGGTGCACTGAATGTTTTATGAATGCAATATAAAAGCATTATGAAGGTGCAGTTAATGTAAAGTGTTACAGTATATTTATTACATGAATATAAAGTAATAAAATGGACAAAGTCACTGTTTAGTGAATTTTATTGACTTTCAAAATACAGTACAGCTGATTCAAACGCTTTTCAAATTACAATATTATACAAATTAAATTAGTGAACCATGTACTGTATAATTCAAACATGCTATAACACAGTACAGTACTGTACATAAAATATAGTTTATTGTAATTTAATTTAATTTCATTTAATTGCTGCATCTCATTGCCCGTTTTTGGCAGCTTATCATAAGGTTTTATGAAACTATATTTGTGATTTAGAAAAAAAAGGACTTTCTTTTTCCTGTCATGTTTCCTGAAGACTGACCAATGCAAGCAGCATTAGCCTCAGGTAGCTAGTCACAAGCAGATGGGTTACCACAAGGCAAAGTTGGGCTATCAAAGTAAAGTTGAAAAAAGGAATTACCATTGTTGCACTTTTCTCCTTATGTTGTCAAAAAAATTCAAAATAAACACTGCAATTGGACTACCTGATTACTTTAAGCGAATTATTTATACAGTATTTGCAGAGGAATTAGTCTGTTCCAAGCTTTTTGATACAATACCCATGATAACTATAAGCGATTTCCACTGTA